GTCATCCTAAGGTCGTGCGCTGACTGGCATTGAGCTCCGCCCGCTGCACCGCCGGGCGCTCGAGCGGCATGCAGATCTCACGATGGGCCTGACGATCCTCGGGTGTCACGGGCTCCGGAAGCCCTCAGAGCAAGGCCGCCGTGGCAGCGATGTTTTGGCTTGCTCGGGCGAAGTGCGGGCGGGCTCCATCGTCTTCGATGATCCAATAGTTCACGTCACAGGCCATGGCGCGCGCACGCCCACCATCTCTGTAGCACTCGATCTCTAGCTCGAGCTCCGCATGCTCCTGCCCTAGCTGTTGTCGTGCATCCTCAAGTTCCCTGTGTTGCGCCCTTAGCTGCTCCACTCATAAGCAAGGTAGGGCCCTGCATCTCCCTTGACCTCATCGTCGAGGTCGTTTGGTGGGGTAGACCCGCCCTCGTGGATGCTTTCGACGCGTCCCTCGAGGGTACCTACCATAAAACATTCTCGCGAGGGGTGATGGCTCCCCCTATTGGAGTTAGAGTTAGAGGGCGACTCTGAATCTCCCATGAGAAGGTCGTGAAAAGATTACACGATGTATTCGATCATCCCCATGAACTCATCATTCGTAGGGGATGGGTGCACGCGCTGCGCCACGAGGTGGCCAATGGTCTCAGCGATGTTGCGTAGACTAAACGGGAATGTTGTCGGGGCGCTCCAGATGAGGTATTTCGGGTAGAGCGGTTCCCCTCTGGCAAGCTACATCATGACGTTGGCGAACAAGAAGGTGAGGCAGCGTAGGTTCTCCTGGGATGGTCAGGGTCCCAGGCAGGCGTCGAGTTGGCACTCTAGCCTCCCATAATCGAGGCTGAGGAGCTAATCGCTCTTGGGGGCACGGGCCTCTAGTGCGTGTAGCTGCAGCTCCTCAAGTGCCTCGACGGTCACATTGAGGCCGGTAGAGTGGAGAGGCAGGACGGCAGCTGGAGCTTGCGCCAACTCTCCCTCTCTTGTGATGATGAAGTCTAGGTTCCCGAAGTGCACGTGCACGCCCGGGACCCAGCTGATGTCGTGACTAGCCATCCAAGGCCTGATGTGGATGTCAAGACATGCAAAAATCCCCTACCTTGCACACTAACTATCGGAGTTTCGGATCACCAACTAGTAAATTTGTATCTGCGCGTTAGGCCTGGATGGTGTGCTCGGAGGACACAAGGATTTATACTGGTTCGGGTGGAATGTCCCTACGTCTAGTTTGCTGCTGCTGCTCGTGTTACCAGCACTAGTTTGTAGTAGGGGTTACAAACGGGCGAGAGAGGTAGAAGGTCCCAAGTGTCTGGTGAAAAGATCGAAGGGAGCTGAGTCTTGTGCAGCTTATTCAACCATGTGCTCGTTGCCCCTCCTTTGGGCGTCCTGCTTCCCCCTTTTATAGGTGAAGGGGAAGGCACATGTTACAGAGAGAAAAAGGAGAAAAGCAAGGGAGAAGAAGGCCTCTAGGGCCGCTGGGTCCTTCTTCTCCTTCATGCGGGTCCTGTCGATGCTGTAGATGGTGACGGGGACGGCTCCATCTCAGGCTCCTATTCTCCAATAGTGCCATGCCCCGACGTCATTAGCTGGTCGTGGCCTCCCATCCCGTCCCGGTGGACGGCGTGGCGAACTGACGTGCCTGTCATCGGCCGTACGGAAAGTAGGCATCATAGTGACCACGCACCCATCGCTGTTGGCGATGTGAACCCCCGGGTGTGGCCTAACATCGCCATGTGTCACGTCGAGACGTGCCTGCTTCCTTCCCGGTGTCAAAAGTTTGACCCTGGGGTCGTACCCTTACACCCGTAGTGGTTGGAGGCGGTATAGATCCCCGTCGGGTGGGATAGAGCGCGTGCCCTCAGGGTTGGGCGGGACGGCTCCCGTACCCTCGGGGTCAGGTGACACGGGGCCCGTGCCCGATGGGTCGGGCGAGACGGAGCTCGTGCCCTTAGGGTCGGGCAGAACGGCTCTTGTACCCTCGGGGTCGGGTGACACGGGGCCCGTTCCTGAGGGGTCGGGCGAGACAGAGCCTGTGCCCTCAGGGTCGGGCGGAACGGCTCCTGTACCCTCAGGGGTGGGTGACACGGGGCCCGTGCCTGAGGGGTCGGGCGAGACGAAGCCCGTGCCCTCAGGGTCAGGTGGGATGGCTCCAGTACCCTCGGGGTCGGGTGACACTGGGCCCGTGCCCGAGGGGTCTGGCGAGGCGGAAACCGTCCCTTCGGGGTCGGTCGTGACTGAAATACGTCCTCGATTATCTAGGCGAGTTTGTCGTCCGCGGTACTCAGATCCTTTCTTCGGGTATCCCTAGTACTAATACTCGATAAATAGTGATCCCACTGTTTTGAGTAATAATATTAATTAATATTGGGGTTTTAGATGGTCTGTCGTGTCTGGGGTTAGGGGTCCTGATGGTGCATTTCCTTAGTTCTTATAACATCTCAAGTTTGATCAAATTTGTATAATAAAATAATAACATTTATGATGTCAAATAAGTATCATTAGATTCTTTATTAATTATATTTTTAGTATTTTATTTGATGTCATAAATCTATGTAATTCTCTCTATATTTTTTTTAAATTTGAGATGTTTTAACTCTTCAAAAAAATTAGAATGACTTATAATTTGGAACGAATGATATACTGTAGCGCAGTTAGATTTAGGGTTCACAACTCTTAACACTTACGAATACACTATAGATTCTCCCATGCACAACTGAACCCTGAATTTAGTGTCATCTCCATGTGTCACTGCCACTCACCAAGTCTACACACCTTTGCGCACCTCCTATGTTGCCTCCTGTCACTGTTCTTCTTCCTTATCTCCACGGCAATAACTGTTCAATCCGTCTCACCTCACCGTTCCACTACATCTCACCAGCCATAATGCTATTTCCACTACATCGTCGCCTATCGCTTATGACTTGTTTAGAAGTGAAGTGAGTATCACCTAGCATTATTCAAGTGATGGGTAACAGAAAAATTTGCCACTTATTGTATACTCTCTCCAGTCCAATTTAGAAGGCGTTTCACGTACACTTTGTAATATTTGGCAAATAGTTTGGCCAACAACGACTTTCGACTATTGTAATACAAATTTGATATTATTACTAAATTTGAAATCAAATAAACTATGTAATAATCATAAGTTTATAATCATAAATCAATATAAAATAATTGAATAATCACAGTATAACTTAGGAGACATGTAAGAAATGGAGGGAGTAAGTAGTAATGACAGATTGTAGGGCCTGGACCATAGATGATAGATGATATACACAGTGACCCATCACTAATGATAGTTATCGTGGTCAGTTATTATCGTTTTTCATGTAACGTGAACAAGAAGCCCATCTTTAAAATTAAACATTTGGAAATATGTGGAGCTCATACATACAACCTCCACTAGTGAGCAGAAGCGGTCAAACCACGTGATCAGCTCATGGCCTCAAACATATTCCATAGGTAATGGTCAAACGACACGAATTCTGATTGTAACTTGTAAGTGATAAGCACACACTCTGAAACTCACTGCTTGCAATAAGAAATAAGTTTTTATTTATTTATGTGCATATCCTAAGCACACAAGAAAAAGCCTATTAGAGTTGATAAGGCCTTAAGAAGTGTTTTGGACAATCTTACTCATCGAAGGCATTGTTAGTTAGTACCAAATCAAGTTTTTATATAAACTATGTGTAGAATATGAGTTAATTAATATAACTTTTATCTACCCCTTTGTCTAAAATAAAGGTTTGTTTGGAGCCATTAGCGCTAAAAATTAGTAGCTAAAATTAGTACTAGTGGATTCAAACAGACCTGCAAATAAATCTGCTAATTATTAACTAGGGGCTACTAACTGTTAGTTTTATTAGCTAGTTTGTAGTTGCTAATAGATGCTAATAGTTCATATGCACCTTCAGGTCACTATCAATCACCTATTAGCAGGTGGATCCAAACAATCTCTTGCTAAAAATTAAAAATAGCGGCTGTTATTAGCTATTAGCTAGCTAATTTTTAGTGTTAATGGATCTAAACACACCCTAAATCAATTTCTAGTGTTCTCCTAAGTCAAACTATCTAAATTTGACTAACTTTATATAGAATAAGATCAACAACTATATAATACCAAATAAGTATATATTGTAGAAATATATTTTATCTAGAAGTTCATTATTTTGAGATGGGGAATAATAAGCATGCATATAAGTTGAATAATTGTTGATCAAACTTTATGAGGTTTGACTTGTTAATTCTGATGTACCTAAACTTTGAAATAATGGATGCGGCACATGTTTCTTGTTTCGTGTGATGTAAAAAGTACTTTCTTGAGATAGACCTATGAATCTAACGATAGTACTATACGCGTACACATGTCATAACTAACTAAATTTGTTCGGTTGTATTATGCGTTAAATTGGAAATTGGTTTGCTACGTGTGCTCATCAAAGTGTATCTTGTGCTATCTGCGCATAATGCATTTCCTGCTCACAAATAGATTTTCGTCGACCAACCCTCACCTTTGCAGAGCTTTGCTCACAATAATCAAATCGGAAGGGAAGGCGTGTGAGCCGTGACCTTCGCTGGCTTTGATACTGCATATATCCCCGTCGATCACAAGCTCCACCACCCTCCCGATGTTCATGTTCGTCACCTGCACCCACCTGTAAAAGCTCCTCCACTTTTGGTCTTTCGCTGCCCCTGTCACTGCGCCTAGCTAGCTACGTCTTCGTTCCTATCCCCTTCCCCTCTGTCTCCTCTCATCATATTTTTCTTGCTCCTTCGATCGAGGCAAAAAGATAGTAGCTAGTAGGGAAAGCTATAAAGATGGCGACGGCCGATCACGAGGCGACGCCGGACGAAAGTAGCCGCGGCCCCCTCCTCGTGTGGGACTGCGGCAGCGTGCTCTACGACTCGTACAGTCGTACGAGCTCACCGTCTTCAAGCGCCAGGTCGACGCCGCTGTGCTCGCCAGCAGCCGCTCGCTCTCCATGCCGCACCTCACCGCCAGCGTCGCCACAATGTCGCCGCCGCCCACCGCCGCCGACGCACAGGCACAGCACCATCAGCAGCAGGCAAGGCAACGCAGGAGGATCAGGCGCCTGCCCGTGCTGCTCCGGAGGCTCTTCTCCAAGGTGCTCCGGCTGCGGCTGTTCCCAGCCACCGGGGCGCGGGGCGCGCGCTACCGGACGGGCGACGACGGAACGGGGTCGCCCTGTTCCGGCGCGCTCACGTCCATCCCGGAGGAGCAGAGCTCCAGCAGCCCTGAGATGGCGGAGTCCCCGCCGGTTGAGCCCGCCCAGAGCAAGCTGCGGAAGACGCAATCGGAGCGCTTCATCGGCAGCAAGACGGCGTCGTCCATGGTGCAATTCGAGGTCGTCTTGTAGCTGCAACACAATTCCCTAGTTATTATATAGAGTATTACCCATATAGTACAAAGTAAGCGCTTATTTGTATTTCACTATTCAGTCTATAAATTGGCAACAAATTAAGATAAGTTCATGTGAGGAACTTCTACTCAAGATATGCTACATAATTTGGGTTTGGTTATACAGTCGTCACCGGCAACCGGACAGCGCCACCACCAACAAGAGCCAACAAGCTACCTCTACATGTTTTCGTGTTGTTAAGCACACGCACTTTCAACTCCTCCCTGTGTTGCCTTCTCGTCTTGTCTGGTGCACCTTGTGCCTCCTTGTCCGCCTAGATACTAAGGTCTCCTCTTTGAGAACCAGCTTGTTGACTCCTAGCTGAAGCCGACAGAAACCGCATGGTTGATTCATCCTCCCATGTAGCCATGGATGATGGCCAATCAGATCAAATCACAAGAAGTAGTTGAATTAGTTTTCCAGCTTGTTGACAGAGATGCTGGTCAACAAGAAAAGCAATAGGCACGTGCAACAGATTGTCAAGATCAGGGATGCTAGCACACTAACCTGACAAGGTGCCCATGTTGCCGGCTTGAGCTCACAAACAAGAAATACTATATGTACAGTAGATGCTGCTGCTCGGCACGTTCTTAAGCCACACAACTACACTCTGAACGAACATATGGTCTTCTTGATGATTTCATATGGGCCGAAGAAACATATAACACCTAAGAGTTCTGAGCGTAAGGTTGTAGCTAAGAAGGCCATATCACCCTAGTCGATGGTTCTCTCATATCATTGTTTATCCGCTTGGAACTTCATTCGTTGTTGAGCTCGTTGAAGTGCTACTGCATAAGCGCCGTCATCTTACCCCTTTTAAGGTTGTAGCTTTAAGAAGGCCATATCACCCTAGTCGATGGTCTCAACTCATTGTTTATCTGCTTAGAATTTTTTTTAATGTCAACAGGGGGATAGGTTCCCCATCTGGTTTTTATTCATTGATCTAGGTCCCACTTTGGAGACCCATCGGAGTCAGAAACTTTTACATCATCAAAGTTTGGAATTCTAGTTACATAGGGGTGTAGTAAGAATTGACACCAAGCATTTGCTATTGCCTTTGTTCTTTCTAGGCAACCTCATCTTCTAGAGTTGTGCTTCAGCGTGGATGAGCTAGTAAGAAAACTGTCGGTGTGGCCATTTCATATCTGAACACGACAAGTACCGTTCCGCCGTTTCCAAATATTCTAGTAATCGAGGGAGATGAAGGTTCTAAAAATTTGTTTTGGGAAGTTGTCTAGCACTACTAGAAATATTCACTTCTATGATGAAAAAATCTTAATGACGAATCCGAAACCGTCGTAGAAGAGCACTTTTTATGACGAATATTTTCGTTTCGTCATAGATCAATGGTGACGATCCTGCAACCCTCCATTTCTATGACGAAATCAGGCATCGTCACAAAAAAAGTCATAGAAGAGCACAGGGTTTTGTCACAGATCACTCGCGCGACTCATCTGTGACAATCTCCTTCAAAACTGTGACGAACAGGGCTTCATCATTGAACTAATTACACATCTGTGACGAACAATATTTGATCTGTAACGAACGGCGTTTCATCATAGATCTCCACACGGTACTTTCTCCATCCGACGTGTACTTATGGGACCTGCAGTTACTCATCCGTGACGCTTGTAATTCATCATAAAAGTCTCCGCCCGATCCTTTATCTATGCGACGTGTACCTATGGGACCCTCCTCCATCCGACCTGTGGGACCCGACGGCTTACGTGTCACGTGTACCTATGGGGCCTTTCTCCATCTCCATCTGTCAACAAAATACGTTCGGCAGTCTACCGAGGCATATGCCTACGATAGTAGATGAATTGGTGGAGGTGCACGTGAGGGAACCGGATGGTGGCATAGAACACAAGAGACAACGATTAGATAGGTTCGGACCGTCAACTTGACGTAATACCCAATGTCCTGTATCTTTGTGGATTATATTGCGTATGATCAGATGAAAACGAGGGGGGTTCTTGCCCGCCTTATATAGCTCGGGGATAGGGTTATAGATCGGTTGTTTGTATCCTGATCGGTTTTACAAGATAGGAAGTTACAGATATAACGGGATCTGGTGTATCCGAGCAGGTCTCATAGATCACCGGAAATCTTCATGTAGTCTTGTGAGGCACGCCGACCGATATCAAGCCTTGTACGACGTGGTCTCATGGGCTGGGCCTCCACCAGTGGCGTGGCCCAAGCGCAATCTTATGGGCTGGGCCTCCCCTAGCGGCTCGGCCCATGTATAGCCCTGACTGGTATCGAGGGCTATACCCCCACAACTAGTCCCCGAGCGCCTTGCATCCATTGGGAAACACCGTCTTAAGCTTGTTCGAGCTGTTGAGCATGCTTTCGAGCTACTGAACATGCCATCCGAGCTGTTTGACCATGCACCCAAGCTGTCTAAGCATGCGTCCGAGCCATCTGAGCATGCGTCCGAGCTGTTCGTCTGGTTGCTAGAGCCAAGCACACTTGAAGCCAGGGTTTGTCAGAAGGATGCAAGGAGCTCAAGTAAAAAAATTTCAAAGTCTTCACCTTGGGTGAAGTGTGCCCACTTAGGTTCCGAGCGTCAAAACTGGTCACATGACGGCCTTGACTTAGTTAACGTGGAGGAACTTAGCCATTTTGTAGAAGATGAAAACAAAAAATAAGCACATGTACCATGAGGTGAAGTGTGCCCACTTAGTCCCCGAGCCTGGCAGTAGGTGAAGTAGTCACTTGGTGCTAGGGTCCAAAGTAGTGGTCGTCAGGTGCTGGCCCAATCCCCAATATCGCTGGAAACTAGAGTAGGAATAAATACAGTCATCACAAAATGATGTGTACACACATAGTCTCCGAGCCAGCTAGAAGATTATGAAGAAATCTTGTAGTAGGGTCAGAGAAAGAAAATATCATACCGTAGCACACTCAGCATTGAATATCAGCCTGTGTTTGACATGGTTTGATGCAGCAGCCCACCAGGCCCACTCAGCAGCCCAGCGGGGTACGGAGACGTCGGAGGGGAATGCAGCGCGGCGGGTGCAATTTCCCAAACACCCTGGAAGGCGGAAGGTCAAGGGTTGAACTGTTATAAAAGTGCCGCAACCCTAGCGCACATTCCCCACTTTCTCTCCATCACTTCATCTTCTTCCTCGCGCCCACACTGCTTCACCTAGCTATGACAGAACTGACCAATGTATACAAGATCAAGTATGGCTATCCCCGTTTAACACGTTGACGCGCACATACTTTCAGGTAGTCCGCCGAGTGTCACGAAGGTCCTCGGTAAATCCACATCACAACCAAGATCGCACGATTAAGCAAATACACATTATATACACAGAGTTGCCGCAGAAATAATGTTTACAATGAGTTCACAAATAATAATACAAGTTTGGGTTTGAAAACCGATTAGCGAAAACAACATAGCTTTCAATTGATTACAATAATATAAGTTCCAAATACATTACTAGCATCCATGACATCCTCTGACAAAAGCATATAGATAAGAACACTATATAGAGTCACCAAGCCCACCGGCGGTTAGCCACCATCTTCAGCAGGCCGAGAACTTCACCTACAACGTGGTGGGATAAACCCTGAGTACTCGAATGTACTCAGCTAGACTTACCCGTCATAAACCAAAAATAAAATGACACCAAGGATCATGCAAGGCTTTATAGGTGGAGCTAGCTTGACAATACTTTGCATAAAAAGCCACTAATTCAGCTATACATTTTATAATTCGGTCATTAAGTTAATTATAGCTATTCATCTCTAGATTATCATCTAACCTGTGCAAAACATGTGGTATATCATTTAGTAACATGCAATACTAACCATAGCCGGTGTAATAATTCCATGTTCATCATAACCATCATATTCCATAATTCAATTACTACGATGTTAGAGCTAGTCAAGTTTCTCACTATTTGGGAGAGACGGTGATTCGAATCGATTTCAACCAGCTAGGAATTTATTCCTAACACAAACCCAGACATACCTACGCCAATGTAGTCTTAGGTCACCTTTTGTACAACTCGGGTAAAATTCACGGGTTCGATCAGCGCCACACAACCAGGGATAACCAGCTGCCAGGACGTTCAGGCCCGGCCTCCCCTTGGGCTCACGTCTAGCTCCCCGCACATCCTTACTACCATGCAGAGTGCACACACTTACAGAATGGGGCCCGACCTAAGTTGAGCTACTTGGCTTCGCGGTCGGAATGAGTTATCCGGCCAGCTAAGTGAGAGACATGCGTTCAATCTCGACAAATATAGCCAACAATGGTACGGTCCTTAATCGGTACAGACGTAATCACATGAGTCAACCTATGCATAGACTTTGTCCAACCTCCAGTTACATTAACCCATGGTTCTTTTCCACGATAGCAAATATAGTCAACCGTGCTTCGGTATCCACCTATATCTCGCAGGTGACAGGAAATCACCCGACTTCTACCGGTCTAAGCATGGCTAAGCATATATTCGATCCTAGACCTACATAGGGTTAAAGGTATATATATCTAGACAAGGTGGTGCTATGCATCAAGTGTTTTCAATCAACTCTTATAACCTAATGCATCACACATAAAAGAACTCAAGTAACATTTTGTAAAAGATGGGAGACTTAGAATGCTCTGGGACTTGCGTGGGATCCAACACAAAGTCAGTTCAGTTAGCTTGCACCATCCTAGGGAACATCTTCCACTCTAGGCATGCACTCCAGGGGTCCTTCCATCTTTGGGATAGGTCCACCAACACCGTCTTCTGGTTCGACTCCATCATCACGTGCTTCACGTCCACGCGTTGTGCATCTAGCGTACCTAGATGAGAAGTGGTAGTGCAAGTGCATGAATGCAAAGAATGATAATATGACATGCCTCACATAAAAGTATTCAAGATGAGCATAAGGTTACATCGAACATATATAAGCACTGCACGTTACTTAATTATGCATCACACAACCTATCATGCTAG